GTTCATGGAGCAAAGACGGATATAAAAGAAGTGAATGCTCAAAGTTTCTCTTGTGATGCTTGTTTGGGAAGCTGCTTAGCATTCCTCTTCTTTCTCTCACACTCACTCCTAACTTTAGAGCTGGCTCAGCAGACAACACATAGATGTTAAAGCAGCGTGATTCATTTAGGATGCAGCGAGCTCTTTTTTGGTCAGCATGCTTACACGCACAATCTCACACATCAGGATCTGAATGGATGTAGTACTTGTAGAAAGATGGCCTTTTAAGCCAAATATCAACCTGCTCTCAGAGCTGGGTATCAGCCTGATACAATGAAAACTTCGGGATAGGCTTATCAAAAGGTCACAGCTGTACCTACAGTCAACATGGTGTTTATATCAAAATCAAGATGAGCTGATTTATACCGCTCTGTCACAGTATCTGTCTGTTACACATGAAGGTACAGAGCGTACGTGGTTAGCTTAGGTTAGGTAAAAAAGATCTGCTAGCCTGTTCAGAAGCAGACCAGAACATGAGTGTAGAGTATAAAAGATGGTCAAAACTTCCATGTCTAAAAAAGCAAAGCCAACGTGGAAAGGCCTTAAACCTCCATTTTTTCCATTGTCCACTGGCAGACTCCCACCTATAAAAGTCTATGGCAAAGCACCTTAATTAGCACATTAATTAACTGTGAATTAATAAAATAAGAATAATATATTTAACCAAACTAGTATTTCTAAAACCAACAAGTTGTGCACATCTCTATTACACACAGCTAACTTTACCATCAACATGCTAACAGTCACATCTTTAAGAGCTAATCCAAATATTCACAACTCTAATAGAGCTCAATGTCATCTTCACTGACCGCACCGCCATAGCTAACAACACATTTAGCAGGTACATGTCCTTTAACATCCTGCTGGGGATTACCAAACCAAACTCCCTGCTACCTCCATTAGCTGTCAATATATGCATTCTTAACCTTTTCCACAGAGCCAAGCTAGCAGCAGTTTTCATGCTAAGCTAAACTAGCACCCTGACCTTAGCTTTATGTTTGATGGTGCTAAATGGTATCTAACTCTTAGCAAGAAGATATATATACAGTAACAGTTTTGGACATGCTTACCCATTCATACAGACAGAAAATGAATATGATAGATTTCATAATTTATCAAACCACTCTGTTAAATCTGTCTTTAAAAGCTTCCATGGCTCCATTTACATGTTAGCAGCTTTTGTTGTAAGGCAGACTGGGGCTTTGCTGACTGGGGAAACTTGAGAGGGAAGCTGAAACAAGCACCTCAAAGACCTGTGTTTCTCATACATTCCTGTGTGCAGTCCCCTTCCTGCTGCTGGCCTTTTGCCCACTTATACATTGTCTATTGTGGCCACCTACCTGTCGCTGCAGCTTCACTCTTACCAATTCTGCGCTTCTCTGGCCATTCCACATTTAAATATCACAGTTGCGGGCATTAACGTCTCACCACAAAGGGTACAGGAAGTGAAATAAACGTTCACCGGCCTTTCAGGAAAAGAAACCTGTACCGGCGAAGCAGTGCATGCGGTGGTTTGCCGTGATGGTGGGCAGAGAATTGGACCGCTCTGCTGGCGTGGGTAGCATTTGTATTTTCACTGCCATGAGTGCCTGCGGTGCCGTGCGGGGCTGGCTGGCAGGCTAGGGGAAAAAGACCCATCTGTTGTATGAGATTATTTCAAACCAGGAACAGCACAGGATGTCACCTGTTTGTAGAGACTCAGGGGAGGTGGGATTATGGGGAAGCATGTATGTGTGTGCGTGTTTGAGAGAGGAGGTATGAAAGTGAATTTCTCAAGACAATGTGTTCTCTCATCCAGTCTAGTCACAGAACACATGTATGTGTGTTTAATGTGAGTTAGTATAGCTGCCAACTTAGCAATGTATACATTCATCATAAATAGACTCCCTGAAGAGAAAAGAAGATGCAGCATCCTTTAATTTATTGTATTTTTTGCAGTTCTTTCATACACTGACTTCAATTATCTGAATTTGTTCTATTTTTAAACAGTAACCAAATCTTTGCTGCTGCAACAACTCAGAAAGTTTCATCTAATCGAATGTCTGCAGGAAATGGACAGATGACTACAAGATAGCACTACCAGCTTCTGGGAGGACTTAATCATATCTGATTAGAGTCCCCCCGTTTTACATGATGTTGTTTTCGGTTAAATGTGCATTAGAATCTATGTTGTTCGTGCCAAAGATTAGGGATAGGCTGATGCATGGATGTAAAAAGAAAAGAGATAAATGGGAATCTGCTGAGCTGTTAAAACTGCCTAAAAAGTGCGTGTACGAAAAGCCACCAATAACCTCCTTTTATGCACAGACCAGTTTCATTTTCATCTGAACTTCTTCTCTACATACACAACTGTTCTTGTTTTTTCTTTTTAATATTGGTGTCTGGCTAAATGCTACTTTGATACCACCCCCATTTTCAATTTTACACTCAGTTTAGACTCACACTTTGTTCTTGCCTTAAT